ACATCACAGTTTTTATTGTAATAAGCTTCACTGAATGAGGGAAGTTTAAGATCACACATACTGGAAAGACCCTCCACTGTTATAAGGCAAGTCCAAACGTGTAAATTCAAGTGACATAACCGGAGGAAATGGTAGCATGAATGTCGGTTTCATTCTTCAGACTTTGTAGAAACGTTGCTATAGAGTTTAATGTCTGACTTGCCATTTTTGTCCTGAAGTTTGGGGTTGAAAGAGGGAGACTTTTGGTCAGTCCGTAAGGGTTTAAGAGATTACAGCAGTAAGTGGGTAGGAATTATTGAAGGAATCGGTCGCCTTTCTTGTTTAGTTGCTGTGGGGTTTACGGAAACCCCCCATGATTTTTAGCGTTATAATCCTAATTACGGAAAATAGATGTTCAAGGTCGGACAGAAAGGGACCTGTTGGCTTGGTTTTGAGAAAGAAATATTAAAGAATTAACGACGGGCGTTTACTAGAGAGAAGGAGACCAGGAGATACGAGAAAAGAAAGTAAAATAATGTCAATAACAAATAAAACCTAATTTTTTTAAGTGTTATCGATATAGTAATAAACAGAAATTTGTTATGGTTGAATTAGGTAGGGCCAATTGTTAAGCACAAAGCTACACAAAGGGCTATCTGTGCTCTGCCCAACACGGGTATGGAAACCCGGTTTCTGGCAGTATAAGTCCGCAGACGTACCACTGTGCCACTGGGGGGGGGGGGGGTGAAAAGGTGTCTGAATATAAATTAACACGATCGGCCGGCCCCTTCATTGGATGAAAATAAGAAAAACTTACTTTAATATAATAAAAAATGTTAATCTTTAGTGAGCGAGAGTTGTCTGTTTAATAGCTAAAGATCTACAAAATAAAACACCTTTTTGCAAAGATTGTGCACAGAAAATATGAACTTCTTTTATGGATTTTCTGAATTCCAGATATGCTAAAAACTGGAAAAATAAAAAAGAATGACCGTAATAACTTAGGCTTAATAAATCGTGTATCCGACCACGATATATATATATATATATATGTAACTCGCCAAAACTGACTTCTTTCGTACACCTGTTTTTCTGGTGGTAAACATTTTACTTATCTATATAATTATACATTCATATGATCATTTAATCAAGAAACATAGAAATTGTACTTTATTTATCTGTTTATATAACGGCCCCCTTCGAAACCGAGAACTGGCAGACGCAATTACTCATGAAACTATTGCATCTGTCACGGAAGAAACTAGCTAAGGTGGTTTCTCGTCAGCTTCTTCAACAGAAGCCGTTTATTGTTTGACGTGGCCATGACAACAGAGTGAGGGTATTGTGCAGGCAACGAGACGCGAACCACAAACCATCAGATTCATAGTCCGATACGTTAACCACTAGGTCACTTCCGGTCTAAAAACTGTTTTTAGATAGAAGACAAAAGTGAATTCATTTGATCTGTCTCTCAGGGACACTAAGATTTTGAGATCATGGGGGACAATATTTTGTTTAAATATTGAATATCAGCTTTATGTAGGATTCAGAATACGAAGACTACAATAACAAAAAGGCTTAAGTTTAAGAGATTGTAATTTCTTCTTATTTTTTTAGTTTTATATTCCATACTATCGATATTTTAATATAGATATGAATGAGAACGGGCATGGTCTAATAGTTAGGGTGCCGGTCTGTGAATTAGAGGGTTCGTGGTTTACGTCCCGTTGCGGCAAGATCGTGCTTCGCGCTCGAGGACGTAGGTACATTATAAAAGTAATGGTTAAATCCCATTATTCGAATAGAATATTCCAAGGGTTGGCTGTGGGTACTGTTGACTAGCTATCTTGCGTCCAATCTTTCAGTTCAACACCAAGAAAAGTTAGCTCGGGTAGCTCTCTGCATCTTTGTACGAATCTCCAAAAGAACTAACCATGCATATCAATGAAAGCAGCTACGCCATGACAGTTTTCTTTTATTTATTTATTAACAATGAGTAAAACATTCTTCGTGATCACGTTCCATCGGTGTGTGTGTGTGTTAAAAGGTCATATGCACTGACCCGTTGATTTAAATAAATTATATTAGTAGATCTCCTAGCGGCAAGGTAATGAATGTATTATATTTATATATAATATATATATATTAGCTGGTATGATGTTTTTCAGTCGTCTAACTGCATCCACATCAAAACGTTTTGAGAGATGCTAAGAAAAACTAAAACTTTAATGACTATTATTTACAGGTGTCTTGTTATTAACGCCCCCTGGAGTTTAGCAAACCTTTTTCTTAAGTAATGATGTGCCCTCGGTGGCTCAGTGGTAAGTCTGAGGGCTCATACCGCTAAAACCCTGGTTTCGATACTCGTGGTGGGCACATTGTGTAGCTTTGTCCTTAAAAACAAACAAAAGTATGGATGTATTAGTTATTTAAAAAATCATTTAGCCTGGCGATAGCCCTATTGACTGATTCAATAACCTGAGACCAGGAGAAGCCTAGTAACATGCGTGCCCGGATTGTGATTCTAAGAATTCATGGTTCTCAACCCATTACCTAAAAACGTTCTCCTTACTTTGGAGCCACAGATGCGCTATGAGATCATTGGTTGAATTTCGTTGTTCGATCAGACAAGAGTGGCCCAAGTTTTGGCGGCAGGTGCTGTAGACTTATTTTCTCCCCCTTTGTCTACCAATTGAATATTAAGGACGGCTATTTGAAGATAGCCTTTGTGAGCTTTGCCCGAAATTCTGAATAATTCGTGTACTGGTTGAATATTTAATATTTAGTTTTTTCTATCTAATATCTTTGTACAGAATTTTACGACATATCTGATAAATTAATCATAACTGTTGTTTTATTGGAGAAAGCGTGGGTTCGAGCCTTGTCGAGGACATTTTTTTTTGTCCTTTAGCTAGGCACTTTACCCCACAAATAAGCACAAAATCACTCACTTGTGATACAAATATATTGCACACACACACACGCGCGTATCATTAATTCAAATAAAACTTAAACTTATTTTTAATGTTCCGATCAACCGTTTATAAAGCTTGAATGAAAGATGTTGGTTTCTTCTAATCATTTTTTAAACGTATCTTTGCGCAACAAACAAACAATTTTCTAAACAAATATTCTGAAGGCTTCTAAAGCTCAAGTTCGGAGTTCATTCGCCGTGGTCGGTACAGAACTCACAGCCCATTGTGTAGCTTTATACTTAACAACAAACAAACAATTTTCTAAACAAATATTCTGAAGGCTTCTAAAGCTCAAGTTCGGAGTTCATTCGCCGTGGTCGGTACAGAACATACAGCCCATTGTGTAGCTTTATACTTAACAACAAACAAACAATTTTCGAAAAGAAATGTTACACATATACAAAACAACATTACTATTGTTTTAGTACAATTTAAATAACAATTGAAAAAACAATGACTATTTTTACAAAACAACACAAAATTCATTATGTTACTTTACAACATAGATAACTGATTAAATCTAAATACCACTCAATGTCTTACCTTGTTTTTCAGGAAAACTTCGTGTCACTCATTTTTCATTTACCTGAATATATATATAATGAAATTAGGTGGAAGCATACTTACAAGATTTTGAGCCTGTGAAGACCTTGAAAATCTTCCGCCCTGATAGAAGTGATGTTGTTATGATCCAGATCTCTACAAAATAAAGTTAACATTAAAAAAAAACAGCAAACTGATGCTGTAGAAAACTGTCTATATAAATATAACATACGTTTCACGATTCAAAGATTACGATCAAAGTTTTGAAAACGAGAATACATAACTATGGTTCGAATTTGTTGCAAAAGTCTACGCTAAAATACAGGAACCTAAACTTTTAGAACATTAGATTCACCAGTACTGGTATTAATTGTTCGTTTGTAACGTGTTTGAAATAACCAGTATGGTGACAAGGTAGTTTAAAAAGTTCCTACACCTGCTAGTGTTTCAGTATTCCTTAAGTGAAGTATTATACATTATTTATTTATTCTTACTTTCGTTCACAATATTCGTCATAATATTTAATATATCGAATATAATTATTTTTAAATTATAAATTTCATTATTATACTTTTACTGCAGAGACTTGTTTTGCGTTCTTAGCTTAATATATATATATATATATATTTAGAATTAACCTAAATCTCTTAAGCTTGTGAGATATTATTGGGATTACGGCCGAAAATGTCGTTAACAGAGAGGGTACCCAACTGAGGAAACAAAGCATTATGATGTTATTCAAAACGTAAGAAAAGTGTATATAATTAGCTATACTGATCGTCGAGCTGATTTTTAGTGTCACTCTGATTAAAAGTTAATATTAACTAAGCAGTAGCTAGTGGTCTAATCTTTCAGTTCTCTTACTAAAAAGTTTTGTTTTTATTTCGTGAGTTCTCTTATTAAAAAGTTTTGTTTTTCTTTCGTGGTATACAAATCTGAGTCGGAAAAAAATACTGTTGATCAATATCTGGAGATAATACTGAAAAACTGGAAACTTACTGAAAAAATTCCCAACTTTGATCTTTCTAGACTACCGGACTTTTTTTTTGCTCGAGAGGTTATGGTGACCAGTCGGTTTAATAAGTTAGAATGTCACTTTTACTAGCAGTTGGTACCAGTTCAATTGGTACAAAAGTTTGTTTTTACCCTGTTACATGAGTAATGCTAAAGATGAATTATTTCGAGTTCACACTGAAAACGTGTCAATTAATTATAAAGAAAATTACCAATTTTGGTTTTGTTAAGACTGGAAGAGACGGAATACAGTGACCCGATATAGATTTAAAAAGTTATTAGATTAACCTTTTAGCTCCTTAGTAGATTAACTTTTGAACACCTTAGTAGATTAACCTTTTAGCATCTTAGTAAACTAACCTTTTAACACTTTACTAAATTAACCTTTTTGCACCTTACTAGATTAACCTTTTAGCTCCTTAGTAGACTAACCTTTTAGCTCCTTAGTAGATTAACTTTTGAACACCTTAGTAGATTAACCTTTTAGCACCTTAGTAAATTAATCTTTTAACACCTTAGTAGATTAACCTTTTAGCATCTTAGCAAATTAACCTTTTAACACTTTACTAAATTAACCTTTTTGCACCTTACTAGCTTAACCTTTTAGCTCCTTAGTAGATTAATCTTTTAGCACCCCAATAGATTAACCTT